TTGGTATGAAACTTTGGAGAAGTAATTGCATGAGAAGGAATTCATTCAGGAGGCGGTTGAATTTATCCAAAAAATCCATCAAAGAATGATGACGGCACAGGACTGTCAGAAGAGCTATGCTGATAAGCGTAGAAGACCCTTGGAGTTTAATGAAGAGGATTCAGTCTTCTTAAAGATCGCATCTATGAAAGGTGTTATGCGTTTTGGCAAGAAAGGCAAATTGAGCCCAAGGTATATAGAACCTTTCAAGATTATTAAACGAATTAGGAAAGTAGCCTATCGATTAGTTTTACCGCTAGAATTAGCTGCGGTACATGATGTATTCCACGTCTCGATGTTAAAGAAGTATATACCTGATCCATCACATGTTATAGAACATGAACCAATCCAGGTTCACGAGGACATGACTTATGAGGAACAACCGGTGCAAATACTGGCACGAGAAGAGAAGCGTCTTCGTAATCGAAGTATTCCACTTGTAAAGATACTGTGGAGAAATCAAAAAGTGAAAGAAGCAACATGGGAACGTGAAGATGAGATGAGAATGAAGTACCCCCAATTGTTCTGATTTTTGGGATGAAAATTTTTTATGGAGGGGTGAATGTAACGACCGGGAAAAAATTTCAGCTCTAATCTGAACAGTCTGGCATTTTGACCACAATTTCTTCCGAAACAGAAAGTAGAAGAATTTTCAGCTTGATCAAGGAAATGTTATGTAAAAACTTTATGTACGGGGTAAAATTTCCTAAAAAGTGTAAAGTTATAATACAAATATTTTTACAAAGAAAATTCGTAAATATCAGTTATGAATAGTGAAATATCAGTTAAAAGTTAGAAATTTTAGCGGATATATTTTAGTTATGAAAACTCAAATATTTGGTTTGTGACCAAATGACCAGTTAGAAAAAGAGTAGAAATATTAGAAGTAAGGAAAATAGCAAAAGTTCCTGAAATAGAATTTTCCCGAGTCAGTTAAAGCGGGAAACTGCTAAAAAAGAGGGGTGTACCGCAAGGGTACGCGTTTTAGACGATTCTGAATCAATTGAAATGATAGTTTCAGAAAAAGAGATTAACTAATGAGATACCCAAGAGAATTGGGTTGAACATGAGAAGTTTGACCCAAGGTGCTCGACAGTCCAGAAAAGCAGTATAGAGCCTGTACTGGTTGTGGAATAATTAGTACCAGAAAGAGTCTCGTTTCGAGAAACGGAAAGTTTAGTCTCGACAAGAAAAAAATATGGGGAACATAGAACCACTCAAATTAAGTGTTAAACTTAAGTAGAACTAGAAAAATTAAATTAATTTCTTTAATTTAATTTAAAAAGTAAAAAGGAGATATTATTAGAAATATTAATATAATATTCTAATTATCCTAAAAAGGACCTACGGGAGACATTGGAGGCCAAATGGGTTTATTTTACTAAGTGTCGCTGAGAGAAGAGGGAAAAGAGGGAAAAGAGAGAAAAACAAAGGGAAATCCAAGAGAATCAACCGATTTTACCGAAATTTCTTCTGCTCAGTCCGGTAGAAACATAACCCGAGACGTTCTAGCGGATAATCTCAACTTTTAAAGGTAAGATTTCAGATTTTTCATGAGAAACTGCATGCTATTTCGTTTTGATGAATAGTAACTCATCTTGGAAAAAATTCATAAAACTGAAAAACGAAACTGAGGTTTTGTCTGGGATTGTCATTGGAGTTCAACATGTGATTTTTAAAACGATTGAACAAAATTTTTTGGATTAACACTAAAAATCCGAATGACTCTAGAAAATGAAGAACATATGTCTTTGTTCAATTTTATGTTGGAAATTGTGTTCAGGAATATGAATCTTGACTCCAGGTACCAAAATCAGAATTAAAACGAGTTATTGAAAACTCATAAATGAGAAAAACAAGGCGAAACTCTGCCGAAATTTAGTTTGATTAATTTGAACTAAAACTGGATTTCAAGAGGAATATGGGATTAAAGTGTGAAAGAAAGATGTTTCGATAATCGGTGATGGTTAGAAACCGAACACAACGAGAATTCACAGTTTTGGACCGAAACTAAGAATTAGGCCTATGACTAAGTAACTTGCACGGTTTTAGTGCAAATCCTTGAGATAGGAAATGGTTTGAGGTTGAATATCAAACATAAGGATTGTAGGCCTTTCCGAAGTAAATTTTAATGTAATTATTGATCTTAGATTTTGAATCTAATGATAAAAAATTTATACAATAGGATCGATTAACGGTTGAGGTCGGAAAGCGTGAAGGGAGACAAAGGACGCGTTGTTGGTGGAACTTCGGTAAGTACAATAGTTTTTCTATGGCTATATCACGAACAAGCTTACTTTTCTATGTTGCACAAAAATTGTGCATATAGTAGAATTTTGAATGTTAGATACAATGTGAATGTTAGATACTATGTTAGGTATGTATCTACAAGACTTATGTAATCGTAAAACTTTATTCTGCGAAAAAGTATGTATTGATTTTAGGTCGAGATCAAACTAAGAGAAATGAAAGGTTAAACTTTAATGAACAGTTAATCTCATGATAAAATGCTCAATAATGCACAAATTCATAAGATTTAACTAAAGTTAACGTTTCAATGAGAAAATTGATAAACGGTAAGAGACTAAATGTCCTGTTTGTACCAGCCTTCGAAGGAAAGGTTATTATGAGACTATGAAAGATATGAAACCGTGACTGAGTTGGATTGGTTAGCTACCCCACCCCACTCCTCACTGGTTATGCGCGCTATGGTACAACAGGACAGGGCCCATAAGAAGTAAAAGACAAGAAAATGAAAAACAGAAACCATTCCATATAAAGGTACGATATCTGTAAAGAAGAATGAAAAGAATGAGAAACAGAAAATGAAAGTCATTCAGAATGTGAAAATACGATGTGAACGACTAAAATGAGAAAGCATAACAAAGAATGTAATGAAAGAAGAAGAACATAAGCCATACATGTTTTAGTAGCACAGAATGTATTATGATATATGACATGAATACATATATGAGTATGCATAATTATTATTGCATCTGTTTGACCTATTGATACTTGCTGAGCGAAAGCTCATTAAGTTTGTTCGTGTTTGTAGGAAACTCGGATAAGGCACCGGCCCCCTGAAACTGGTTGCTGGGCATGCAGAGAGGATGTAGCAGCGGAATGTGGGCAAGTGGGTTGTGGATGTATCACGTGTTTTGGACACATTACTAAACTTTATGTGTAAAATAAGATAGTGTTTTTATGAATATAGATGACTAATGTAACAGAATGCTGTTAAAATGCTACAGCACTAAGATATATGAATTGTAGAAAACAGAATGCTAGCTAAATGCTACAACATTTTAAGAATGGTTGAGAACAGAATGTTGTCAGAATGCTACAGCATTTTACAAATGGTTGAAAACAGAATGCTAGCTAAATGCTATAGCATTATAACGTACATGCAAGGAAAAAAATTGGCCTCAATTTTTAAGAGGTTATAACTAGTAAGTGTTCGAGGTTAAGTACTGTTAAGTATGAGTATAGGATGACGATCAAAGGTTAGGGTCATCACAACCATCATGTAAATCGTTTGACGTAGAGCGCATGGACATAGTTTGAGGGTCGGGCTGACCGAAAATGTGCTTTGTTGGAAAATATGGCAAAAGTTGTGCAGTGAAATTTAAAAAAAAAAATTTATTAAACAAAAATAAAGTCAGATCACATTCATGATGCTATATATTATAAATACAAAAGGACTAAATCATACCTCTAGGAGACGAACAATTGAATCTCAAAAACAACTGCAGCGAATGGAATAGACACCGAAAGAGCCTCAACCAATTGGTCTTCTCTGCTATTTTTTTTCCACGAACGTAGTGCGAGTGAGCACTCGTCGTACGATCTCTTACTCAGTATGATGTCCTTCCAACCACAAGAGAGCCAAAGAAAAAATGAACTTGGTGTTTGAACAATTTGTCCTCTCAGGAACCCTTACCAATAGCTCACAAAGAGTTCTTAAATGATCTAAATGACTCTTGAACATAATGGGCTATTTATAGAGGTAGGTTAGACTTATTTCCACAATTGGGTTAACGTAATGGGCTATTTATAGAGGTAGGTTAGACTTATTTCCGCAATTAGGTTAAGTTTTTGGATCCAAAACGCAATTAAAATTGCATTATGTCGGTGCCATGTAGACTGTCTTGTAATGACTGAGAAAATTTCAGAATTAAATAATATAATTTATGCATTTAAGTAAGGATTTTCCTGGAGAATATGATACTATAATTTGTGACTGAAGGATTTATATGATTAATATCAGTGTTCCTAAATTTTGTAGCAACTTTTATGTTAAGTTCATGTTTTATGAGCAAGTAAATTCTGTGACGGCCCTAACTTTTGATCATCATCCTATGTTCATACTTAACATTTCTTAACCTCTACTACTCACTAGTTATAACCTTTTAAAAATTCAGGCCAATATATTTTTTTTACCACGTACGTCTAAATGCTGTAGCATTTAGCTAGCATTCTATTTTCATTTGTAAAATGTTGTAGCATTTTGTTTTCAACTATTCGTATTCTGTTTTCAAATGTTGTAGCATTCTGTTTGCAACTATTCGTGAAATGTTGTAGCATTCTATTACATTAACCATACCTTGTGACTAGAGGTTGCTATGCATAGCCTCACTGTCTCGTAAACTCAACATTCGTTATATAAGTCATCTATATTCATAAAATACTATTTACTTTATACACATAAAGTTCAGTAGCGTTTTCAAAATACGTGATGCATCCACAACCCATTTGCCCACACTCCGCTGCTACATTCTCTCTGCATGCCCGGCAACAATTTTCAAGGAGCCGATGTCTTACCTGAGCTTCTTACAACATGAACAAACTTAATGAACTTTCCCTCAACAAGTATCAAGAGGTCATAACAGATGCAATAATTATGCATACCTATATGCATTCATGTCATATATCCTAATCCATTCAACACTATTAAAACATGTATGGCATGTTCTTCTTCTTTCATTACATACTCTTTGGAGTATGGATTCAGTAGTAGGAGAAAGAATTTTCAGAGATATCAACCTCGGTCGGTCTTCCCTTTGATCAAGGAGTTCATAGTCGGCGTTGATTGTGCGGAAAATGAGTTGATACGGAGACTAACAGAAGGAGAAACCAGGCGCTCAGTCATTTCGCTTGTAGGATGCGGCGGAATTGGTAAGACCACTCTTGCGAAGATGGTCTATCACAACGAAGTTGTGAGGAAGCACTTCAATTGTCGCGCTTGGATCACCATCAACCGGACGTATAGTATGAAGGAGATACTGAAGGTCATGTTGATAAAGGAGATTGGCATAGAAGGGACGCAATTTGAAGAGATTGAGTTGATGAAGAGACAAGAGCTAATAGGAATTCTGAGGCAATCTTTGAGGTCAAAAAGGTATGTGGTTGTGTTTGATGATGTTTGGAGAGAAGAGTTTTGGAATGTTATGAGAGATGCTTTGCCCGATGATGACAATGGCAGTAGAGGAATTATCACATCGCGTAGCGATATTGTTGTTGCTTCATGTGTAGAAAGCTTGTTCGATCATGACCACAGGCTAGAGCCTCTTTCAGAAGCAATGTCTTGGGACCTTTTCTGTAGAATAGCCTTCCAATATGACCCCGAACGGCGTTGTCCTCCGGAGTTGGAGAAAATTTCCTTTGAAATTATTAGGATCTGTGAAGGTCTTCCCCTTGCAATTGTAGCCATGGCTGGTTTAATGTTGACGAAGGACAAGGAAGCGTTAGAACAGGATCTAGTTAAAACAGGACAAGTTCCACCATAAATAACTTGACATTGTAGGTAAATTATTCCATTCTTGAAAATCTTAAACTACTTGGCGAATCTGAACAAATTATACTTATGCGACGCCTAGCAAGGAAAGAAGGTTCTGCATTATTCTATTGGAATATGTCTGTCAATACACTCGGCGAATATATTTTCCTTCTTTTGGAAGAACCAAATGTTTAGTTATAACTAAAATGTAATTACATTGATTATAAACTTAACCTCTCATATTAATCACCATCATTGGGTTTCGAAATCAGTGCCTCAGAAGAAATGACGAAGGCTATCTGCCAGTAATAAGGTCGTAGCCGAAATTCAGTAACACGGTAGGCTACCTGCTTTGTGACGGGAGGCGCTATCTCCAGTGACATGACTGAAGTCAGACTACTATTAATGCTTAAGTTGGGTTAGCGACAGTAATCTAATTGATGACGATTATTGTTATTACATGGGTATGATGGGAAGGACAACCTTTGTTTGCATTGGCATTGAGTGCCAAAAAAAGAAAAAAAAAGTTTGTGATTAGAAAGTCAATAATTGGATCTCAAAGTTGCAAAAGGAAAAGGGTTAATCATTTATATCACACAACACGATAAAGTATTTCATGGATACAACTGTTTTTGATTATTTTCTAGTGCCACTGTCATGTCAATAATTACCTTATTATTGTGATTACTAACAGTTATTATGAAGTTAGTTACTGTAGTTACTGGAATAATTATGTTTCTGACAAAAAAAAATTCAAAACTAGTGATATTCATGATGTACTTTATTTTTTGGATTAATTACAAAAATTCTCCCAAACTATGACCTTTATAACACTTTACCCTTCAAACTTTCATTTGTAACATCCATTTTTCTTGATCTTTACTCGTAACAAATTTGTCCCTTCTATTATTTTGAGTGACAGAAATAACACGTGTCATTTGTTTAGTTATTGTTAATGAGATAATGAGTATGTAGTTACTCTTTTTCCCCATAATCAGATGAATTTGTGGTTTCCATTTTCGTTTTAATTCCATTAGGTCCCTCTTTCATTTTTGCATTGTTCTGAAGGTTTCCACTTTCCATCCATGGATGCCGGTTGTGTTGGCTACTGGAATGTGTAGCATTAGTGGTGGATAACTTGAAAAATTAACCTCAAAATAACTCACAAACTACAAGCTTTTTCACCACTAGACGTAGAGCTACTTGTGGAGAGCAAGAATCTTTTATCATTTTTCAACCAAAATTGAGATGTGGTAAGAGATTTAGACTACAAATCAGATTTGTTCTCCATTTATACTTAATTTTATTGGACGTTCTTCTCGTAATTTCTGAAATTGTAATTAATATTTTAAGAAAACATGTTGTATTTCTGTAAGTTCCATAGCTTATACAATCTTGCTCAGTTGTGAAATACTAGCAAAAGTACAACAGAAGCAAAGCAGTACGACCCTCGATTGGATGCTCTTTTCATTGAAGAAGACGAAGTTGTGGGCATTGATTCAACACGAGAGTACTTGGTAAACTCGTTGGTTGACGGAGAATCTTCAAGGAAGGTGATTTCATTGGTTAGTGAAGGCGGCATCGGAAGACTACTCTTGCTAACAAAATCTGTGAAAATGAAATGGTAAAAATGACGGAGAATCTTAGATCACAGTATCTCAATCATACAACATGAAGAAGCTTCTGCAAGATATGACAAAGCAGATTTGCATAGATGTAGAAGGCACCGAGGGAGAAACAAGCAACACCGAAGGACTAATCAAATCATTAAGGGAATATTTGAAGACGCGGAGGTAACCACCTAACTAGCATATCTTTTAGCTAAATTTGGTTATACAATGCCACTAAGCTACACATTATTAAAGTCTCGTATAATTGGAAACACATCGTAAAATTAAGATTGTTGTATGATAAGATATTAGCATAAAATATTTATAAAACTTATCATAGAGCAGTTTAACAAAAATATGAAGAGTTAGGCAATTAGAACCATCTTTATACAAAAATAGAATAGTGAAGCCCGTAGAAAGCTCATAAACATACGCTATCTCATTACAATTTTAGCTTAGTATATGTATTTTTGGACTTCCAATCAGCAGGTTCTAAAAAGTGTTTCAATCTGCACTAGTAGAAATCTAGAATTTAATGACCGTTAATAACCGTCGTTAAAAAATTAGACAACAATTAGGACAATCGTCGTCTAATCATGAGTCGCTAAATGCCAATGGCATATTACGATGGTTTTTATCCATCGTTAAAGCTCAACATTAGATGACGATTTTTATTAAAACCGCAGTCTAATCTTTACAAGAATGGACTTGGATGGATTTTATTAAAACCATCGTCTAATGTTACATTTAACGACTGTTTTTACTAAATACCGTCTTATATCTCTCTTTTGCACTAAAAACAATTGGTGTTATTTTATTACTTTTCTCACGGATTGGCCTATTAATCCCGTGATTTATCAGCATTTTAGCCACAAAATTAACACAAGTCACAAGTCACAGAATATAAACAAATTAATATTACATATATTAAAATGAAAATGTATACATAATATAAATTATATGTCCCTTTACATGATGTGCCCATTCATTTATAACTTTCACTACAAGAAATGGGGTTATTAGTGACGACAAAAGGTCGTTACAAAAAACCTAAAGCCGTCGCCAATATTATTTTTGCGACCACTTGTCGTCGCAAACATGTCACCGCAATTGATTCTCACAAAAAAAATTTTGCGACGACAATCATCGCAAATGAGTCGCTGTAATTATTTCGTCAGTTACGTCGTCAAGATAACATGACATTAATTATTTGTGACGACAATTCGCAAATTAAATCATCACAAATAATTTCAAATTAGCTGACGTGGCATCAATTTTTTGCGGCCACATTTATCATCACAAATAGTATTTTAACTTTTACTTATTTTTTCTCATTTTAATAATTAATGTTGTATATTACTATATATTTAAACCTTGTTGTATATATCTAAGGCATGTACTGATCAAGAGAAGAAAGTGAAGTCTCTTCCATCCTTGGTGTATATATTTAAGGCATGTAATAATTTATGGATATGTAATCTTAAATATTTCTAGCCTGTGGTTTGATCTCAACCCTTATTTTACTGTCTGTTCATCTATGCTAAATTTGTAAAAAATCCTAAAATGAGGTCAGAGGCTGAGATTTGAACTTATTGTAATATGGTGTTGTGAACTCCCCAGCAGTTTTCTTAAAACCTAATTTATTTCAAATTGTGAGGTTTGTTTGGAGAATTTTTAAATGTTTTATTGTAAAAAATGATTTTTATATCTTTCTGTGATTAATTATTTTATAATCAAGTTTAAAATCCTAAACAAATCTCAACGTCACTAACTCTTATTTTGAGGCGTGACAAAGTCGTCCTCCTCCCAGCCGATCTTAGTCAAAGAAAAGGAAGAGAGAAGCTATTACTGAGGATTTCCATCTTCCTATTGACGTCTGCCTCTAGCTGGACCCTACGTCTGCATACCATGTTGGTGCCGGTGTCTTGACTGAGGGAGATAAAGAATTTCTTCTAGGGCATGGTGTGAAGTCTGTTGCTGAGTCTATGCTGTTGGTTTTATTCAGGTAGAAATATTTTCTGTCTTGTTGATTGATAAGTGCATAAAAATGCACATTGAATATGGCTAATTCAAAATAAATGATTTGTCACGCCCCCCAAACGGGGTGGATGACGTGGAGCTCGATTAGGGATTAATAAAGCAGATTCTCAGACGAGCCCCACTTAATTACATTAAAATATAAATAAATTACAGAATCCCGGAGCCTCTGACACACAGGGCTCCACCCCATAGGACATACAGTATCATACACACATGCTCATGTAAATAATCATTACAACAGACATCAACCACAGTCTAGTAAATCCAAGTATTACATAAGTTTACAGAATTCTCAAATTCCTTACATTTATTCAAGAGGATGAACTCAATCCTCACTTGATCCAACAATAGCAATCTTCCGCTACCCCGCACCGCTCCTAGAGTCTCGTAGGAGGGGTTTAATACATTTGAAACATAAAACGTGAGCGAAAGGCCTAGTAGGATATAATTTCAAATGACTTAAAATAAATGAATAAATAAATGAGCAAGTAAATAAATGAATGAATAAGTAAATAAAATTAGACATTCAGTCCCGACAGAACAGCCGGAACCTCACATCCTTTTTCTCAAAGGAAATATAACTGAAAATAACCGTTTTACAGGCTTCAACAAGTAATTACTTACCTAACCAAGTGCCTCGCCTACCCGGACCGAGTTTCGAGTTCTGCCCCCGAGGATGCACTCTCCGCATCCTATCTAGGCTTACAGCAATAGACTCTCTTACCAGTTCACAAGATCTCTTAGCTTAAGAAATCATTCATTAACATTTTGAAATCGTTAATACGACCCCACGAACTACTCAAGTCGTGGGCCCCATGACTGGACAAGCAATGAGGTTCCATGACTAAACAAGCTATGGATTCCATGGAC